TGGGCAGGACTGGGGTTGCAGACTTACCTGTAAATGGACCACACTGGGGTGGAGCCACTGCAGCTTCGTCGACTTAATCACCACTTGTTTCTTGAGGCTTACAGGTTTTCTCATTTACAAAGTCTCAAGCTGTCAGGGACAGCTGGAACAGAATCATTTTTCACTGGAGAGAGAATGCAGTTCAACAGATTCAAAAGCACACTGGGGAGTCATTTCTTTATTTTCCTGAAATTTTGTCAGAAAGGGAAAAAGAAGAAAGTACAATGAGCTTTAGAAGGAAATATTCATTTTTTTTTTCCTTAAAGTGACTTCCTTCTGAAATACTTCTGATAAAATGTGCTAAAAGATCTAGATCTAAACAGAATATTTTGGTTTTTTACAATATAAACACTTGGTTCAGCCTGTGATTTTTTCCACAGAGAACTTAAACTTTTTTGGTTTTCTTCTTAATTGAAAATGGGACCAATTTTGCAGCGTTCCGCCATACAGAATTTCCATTCTTCCTTTGAAGATGTTTCTGGTATTTAACTGAAATAATTGGTTTACTTTGATTATCAACTCATACTAGCATCCACTTCTGGTCCCTTAATGTAAAGATTTTCACTGATTTCAGTGGAAGCATGGTGAGTTTTGCAGAGTATCAACACAGATGAGCAATCCTAGGAGTGACCTGAAGCCCAGCATGCTCCTGTGATCTAGCTCCACAATGGTTTTGTAGGCAGCCTCAGCTCAGTTGCATTCGGAATTACTTCCCACGTTGTAACTGATACTGTGATTTTTTGAGAAGGATTTGGGGTATTCTGAGACGTGCAATGACACGAGATGTCACCAGGAGGGCAGGTGGGATGGATGGCAGTGTCTGGAAGTTCAGTGTGTTGGGACCTTACTACAGGTAATTTGTGTGTTGCTCTATGCTCCCAAAAGCTTGGGGCAGAGATGAGTTTCTCCCCTGTTACCAAGGGTAACAGGCAGAGCCCTGACTAGCTCTAGGAGGAAAGTACTCTTTGACGACAGAGAACTGATTCATTGCAAGCTATTAAACCCTCACCATTTAGTAGCGTCACTATTTTTAGAAGAACCTGCGCATCTTGAGTTAACAGATGTAAACGGTAGTGCCAAATGCTGTGTGTATTCACAGAATCCGAGCAGTTGCGTGTGTTGAGGTAGATTCTCTGAGACCCTGGGAATTAGGCAAGAGTGGCATGTTGCCATCACTGTTGGATGGCACACATTTCTCTGCGAGGAGCATTGCCCTCGCCACAACGTGGCTGTGTTATTCTCATCACATGGGCATCTCCTGACTTTTTATTTATTAGCTCAGCTCCATTCTGTATTCATTAAGTTGTACAAGATTACCAGTCACAACTTCTGCACTTGCTTTTTGCATATTGTTACACCTTCTTAAAGCATCTGGGCATCACACCCAGGGTGCAGCCACAAACTGTACAGTTATCGTTTAACTGATCACGTGTATTAGAAATGAACGCCCTCATCCAAAAACTGCAGAAAAGTTACCTTGTATGAGAGAACTGGCAGGGGCGTGGGGGCAGAATTCCTCCCGCTAGGTCTGAGTCGTGCTGGAGTCTGGGCTAGTGCCCATCTGTGTCATTGGAAGCAGGTTTCCACCCACGTAGTCTGCATCAGTACAGAGGCCAGAGTGGGATTTTGGGTCATGATCGCTAAATTGGCCAAAAGCAGCACTGGGGATACATTTGCATTTAAGAGATCGGACTCTGCTTCTCCCAGCACTTTGTTTTGCAAAGAAGTTTCAGAGCTGAAGAGCAGTCAAGAGGTTCTCTGTGCTCTGATTATTTTTAAGTAATTTACTTTTTCCTTTCTTAATCTTTCCAGTCTTTGCCCTTAAAACAAAATAAACCTGGAAATTTCATTCGGGAGCTGCTTCACATTTTCTGAAACACAGACTCTCAGGGGAAGAGCACGGCAGCTATGACAAGAGTACACACACAGCTTTTTACCACAAAAGTTGCCAAACCTGACACTGCTAGTTCAAGATGACAAAAAGAGGTTGTAGTACTATACAATGCATAATTTTTACTTACTTTTCTGATAGCCTGCTGAGGATTTAGTAACATTCCCAACGCGTATTATTTCTAAACTTTTTCCAAGACATGATGTAGCCTCAACAAAGGAGCTCATGTATGACTTTTCGGGTTAGATTATGATGTATATGTACATAATGCTTTGATATTAATAAAACTGCCTTAAAGGAATGTACCTAGGTGTGAAACAAAAAGCTCTTATTTAAAACTGTAACTTTCTTTACATATTGATTTTTTTAATGTTTGCCATTGTACACATTTATTAATTATGTTATTAAAATGCCAAACCAAATAATTCCTATTATTTTGTGTGTACATTTATACACACTTTTTCTGGAAACTGATGTTACTGGAAGGATATTGGTGTGAAGTTATGGTCAGCTGGTGATGTGTTCAGTATTTCTTCTGGAAGGGAACCGATAAAACTGTAGCAGAATTTTTCTGGGCAGTGTGTAGTTTGTGGTGTTTATTTGTGTAAACCTGTGTAGCTTTTGACTATACACTATTTTTATATTATTTTAAAAGACAGAAGTTTCATAAGTAAACACAAAAAGAAATCATTATAGGTTTGCCAGACATAGTATTTGAAGCTTTAATTTTGCTTGGTCATTGTTTTTGCTGAGGCAAGTCTCAGACCTCTTCCGAGGACAAAGGTTGTTACATTTTAGGTAGTACAGATTTTAAGATTTGTGGAGCATAGTAAACTGCTGTTGTGCACATGTCCTTAAAACAATTTTTCATATTTAAAGGTTTCTGGATTTAAAAAACTTGACAAGTCAAATTTACTCTGATTTTTTTTTTAAGTGATAAAGGCTATTGGGGTACTACAAAGAAGAAACCTTAAAGGGAAAGGAGAGTGAGTGGCTGGCAGAGGGTAAGATAACTTTTACTTTTAAAGACACATAAGACTATTTTAATATCTAGCTGTTTTAGTAACACATTTGTCAATCCAGAGTTTTCTAGGTAGTTCATTAATCCACCCAATATTCTCAAATATCAGATGCTCCTCTTTTATTTAACAACAAATACAAAATCACATGTATCTGGACAGCTTTCTAGTGACTTTTCCTGTAGTTTTCTATTCATTCAACATTTTTAGGTCACTCCTTTCCAATTTTAGATGATGGCCGTGATAGATTGGGTTGGTTTGTGTCCTTCTGAGGTAGACGGGAGAATTTAAACTGCTGTGTCATGAAGCATTCTGTTGTTAAGTTCCCATCTCTGAGAACAGGTGCCAAATCCTTTAGAAATCCTTTAGAAATGAAGGAAACCATAGTGAGGATCTTTGTGAATAACTTGCCCTGGAAGATGCTTTTTCTTACTCAGTTACTGGTAGTTGTTTGTTCTGTAGAATTAAAGATTTCACTTTCTTAATAGGAAAAAAACCCAATACACAGCTGTTGATGTTCTCATAGAACTGTCTTGGCGATATATAATGAAACTGAGTCAAATTGGCTGATTTTTGCCTTGTGTTTCTTTTGAAATGCTTCACTTTATCACTGTTGGTATTGCATCCTTTAGCGTGATACAGTAGCAAACATCCAAGATCGCAAATCCTTCGACGTGGTTTTCGCCACTCTTCTGTATTCTTTATTTCTATTTTGTCTTGACTTCTGTTCACACTATTGCTCACCTTTAGGCATAATTCATACATGACAGACATTTTTGTTAGGCTGTGTTCAAAAGCCCTTTTCCTTGTCCTCCTCAGATTTTTGTCCCTTGCTTTCACTACTCCCATCTTTGCGTTTTGTGGGGTACTTGTTGCCACAGTACGTTTACTGGACTTCACCGAGTTTCTGCTGCTTCTCTCTTCAACACAAAGCCTGTTTGAAGGGAGTTTTACTCATTTAGGCAGGAGAGGAGAAAGAATTAGATTAGAAATTTAATGTTGAGAATGTATTGGTCTTGTTCTTGTGATAGTAGCTACTTTTCTATACTAAATATACATCATCTATTGAAAGCCAAATCAGCCTGCCCTCAACCTCTTAAACGCAGGGATGTTTGTACATGCAGTCCCCTTCTCCTGAAGGGAGAAGCTCAAGTACAGCTACTTGTTGTACCATTCTGTCCATTTCTATAGATGGTTAAGGGTATGGTGGAGCAGAGAAGACGCACATCCTCCATGGGTTCATGAATCTGTAGAAATTGTGCACAAAAAGTTAATGCGGTTCCATGTTTTATTAACTGTTCTCCCAGGTGTCACCAGGACATAGTACACCCAGTCAGGAACTGGCTGTGACATTATTTATGTAGAGCTCTTCTGGCAGGAGAGGCTGGTACCAGGGCTCACACCCAGTCCTGCCTTCTGTCAGGTGCCTCCCTCCTGTTTGGCCATTTTTCGAGAGGCTCTAAATGGGTGAGGCACACGCCTGCCCTCATGGGACAATTACCAGAAGACTAAATAATTATTTCCCAAGGGGAGGTTACTGTAAAAATGAAAACTAAAAATGTAGACAATCAAAAGCATTTTCTGTAGTGTAGCCAAATTTTTTTTTCTAGGTGTAAAAATAATAAAAGGAAAGCAACGTGTAGTAGAGGATAAATGGGTACAGGTACATAACTTAGACATTTCTGTCCTGTGTGTATTGACAAATATTTTAGAATTTTTAATCTGTTGTTTCCTAATGATGTTAAGTTCAAACCTTCAAGGCCAGTACCACACATGGAAAGTTCCTGTTTTATCCATTTTATTAATAAAGACTATAAGATTATTTAAATAATGTCTTTTCTCCTTACTGGTTACTTAGGGGTAGATTGCAAACATCTCTTGTCGTCTTAAGAATTTTCTGTTAAACTTCTACTAACCCGAAGATAGCCTTTTTTCTTACCAGATTATACAATATAAAGTTGCCCAACTGAAAAAAAATAAAAAATACTTTCCCTAGTTCTGCTCTTTTGCTCTACAAAATCTATGCCTAGTAATAGAAAAGTGAACTTCATCTAGTTAATGTCTTCATCAAAATGCATGATGATGGGATCATGGCCTGTTGATCTCACAAACTTCAAAAAGTCGTCAGGGCTTAAGCCCATGGTTGCAGAATTTGTCATGGGATGAAAATACACTTTCTCATGGCCATCTTCCAGAAAGCTGGCATCCAGCACAAACCTCACATCGCCTTGGTCACAGAAGAGGGCTAGTGGTGTTGCACAGCCCTGGCCCACTTTCAGTTTTTCCAGCATGGCATTTTCATCAGCAAATCTTAGGTTTCCACTTCCAACACCCAGTTTTTTAGCAAGATCATTTAAATTGATTTGCCTGTTGTGCAGAACAGTCACCAGCCAGAACCCCTTCTTCTTTTTGTCTTTAAGGAAAAGATTTTTACTGTGACCTCCTTTCATGTGTTGGACGTGGGGCATCATTTCTTCAACAGTGAACACCTAGAAAATACCATCAATGTAGTGTGAGACTCGATATCCAATTAGACTTTTAGTTGCATAGGGGTGGCTATCTTTTGTTTAAAATTTAGAAAATACTGAATGTTACACTGAGCCCAAAAACTGCACCCTTCTATGAAGAAATTTTAAAAGAACACAAGTAAAATGTCGCCTACGGCTCCTGCACACTGAATTGTTTCTATCTCATGTACACAGCAAGAATATCACACTTTAAAAATACAAAAAGGCAGCCCTGAGAGCACTGCTTTTTCCAGGAATGATGTGGTGCGTGTACTTTTAACTGGGAGTGAGATAAGTCTGGAAAGGATCTTACGATGCTGTCGACTTCACAGTGAAGAAAACAGACAGGAACACAGGGAGAACCTCGCGGCTGCGGTCAAAACGGCCCAAAACAACCCCAAAAACATTCTGCCAGGTCCAGCGTTTGTAGGTCCATTGGACAAGAAATTCCACATCGATACTTAATTCTGCTAAACGAACCACGTACAGGGCCTAAAACTGCTCTGTAGCCTGTTCTGCCCTGTTGGTATGCAGAATTTTATTTCCGGATTTAAAAAAGGTCCGGAGGATGCCGGGAGAGCGGGGCCGAAGCGCGCTCCCGGACTCCGCGCCAAGCCCCGCGGCGTGAGGCGGCAGCGG